TTTTTTTTTCTTTTGGTAATGCAAGAATGTGTTGATATGATAATCCTGTTGAATTATAAAAATGTATTGTAGTTATAAAAGAGTGTCAAATTCAAGCAACGCGGATAACAATTAGCAAAAAGATTGATGTGAGATAGTGTAAACAATATTATAGAATATAATACTATAAAATTATTTATTTATTAAAATATGACTGCTCAGTGTTGAAATAATGGTATTATTTAGTTGTTAGGTTGCCCAAACATTAACCCACCAAATAACATGAAACGTGTAATTCTTGATAACAAATTAACATAAAATGAGTGACCACTATCAAATGAAACTGCGTCCAAGTTAATTCCGATCACGACGATGTTGTGCAAGCAATGTTAAAATATTTCGTATGCATTTATCATGTACTTTTTAGATGGATTATATTTATATTAGTTCATTTATGATTTTGGTATTTTCCTTCTTAATGAGTTTACGGTTTTCCTTGCGGGGATTTCGCCCTTTGGATACGACTTTCATTATATGGAGAGAGAGAGAGAATCAAATCTGTTTGGAATCACAATTTCGTACAAATGTAAAAAAAATCAGTAATTGATCCTATTTTGATTATGTTTCTCACATATTATATTTATGTAAATATATTTACACTAGGGACCATGTATGTATTTTTCCCATTAATCCCATTCCATTAATTATTGGATAAACTATTATTTGATCATGTGCATGCACATATATAAAATATATTTTTATTTGTATTTATTAATTAGACATGTACTTCTATCATATAAAAATTATTATTTTTTTTAAGTTATTTTTATCATTCAAAATTAATTGAGATTTAAAATTTATTTTAACCATGCAACGTTTAACATTAATAACATGAATAAAATAATTTATATATTTGTGGCATATGTTAAAAAAATTAACATAAATAAAAAAAAATATTAGTGTTTCTGATTTTTAGAAAAAAAAAGTGTCAAGCATATTTTTCTTCCAACAATGCAACCAAATATAGCGGTTACAACTTTGAATGTGTCAATCAACTTTAAATTCCAACATTAGTCGTTACACATTTGAATATTTTGCTACCAAATTTAGAATTAATTTAGTAACTGATCGTAAAATAAATAATAAAAATATATATATTAAGGTGTAATTGTTTTAACATATTAGTGAGTAATTAATTAAAAAATTGTAACTACTTTTGGAAGGAAATAGAAATATGTTTTATTAAATATTTTATTAAATGCATTAGCTAGTAATTATATATATATATAGATTATTACATATTTATTTTTAGACATATTTATCTTTAGACAATGATATTACGATAATATTTTTTAATGCATTAAAAAAAAATAATGTAGGCATTTGTGTACTTTAGCCTATTTCAATAAAGTGCATATTATATATTAATAGAATAATAGCACCAATCATTAAAAAATATGATTAATCTAGTTTGTCAAATAAATCTGTTGTAGGTGAACAGAAATAACTGAATCTATTTATTTATTTTTCTGATTCTCTCTCTATATATATATATAAAAAAAAACAATATGTCACATGAACCAAGAATAAAAACACTGGAATGACAGTCTAATAGAAATACAAAAGATTTTTGAGTGACAATTAATTGCTCTGTTCTGTAAGATATACAGATTCTTGTTTGTCTCTAACAGGTAAAATAAGATTAACCTGCAAAATTTCCTGGTACTTGGTAGCATCAAATTTGATAATAAATAAATTAAAAAAAAAAAAGAGGAAAACAAAAATCTGGGACTAAATTGAATCTCGGTATTTTACAACATCTGTAGGATTCAAATAGAATTTCTGGCAAATTTTCAAGATTGCACTCTCAGTGAGACCATCGTCACCTTCTTTTTGGTGTTGAAGAAGCTTCTGAAGCTCTTCTGTCGGCCGGAAAACCTAATAGCGAAAAAAAATCATACGAAGTTATTTAGCTTTTCGAGAGTAAAGAAACTCAGCATTTTTATATACAGCAACAAAAGTTCGGTATATTCTATTAGTCCCTAAATAGTAGTATTCAAAATTTTACATGAATATCTGTACTTTAAAAAAAATGGGAGTGTTTTCGAAGATTAGACCTCACAGTTAGTTTTTTGGCAGTTTATCCCATATGAATATCATGATTCTGATTTGATTAATTCACCCGAATTTAGACAAACAACATATCTGAATGAGAAGCCACACAATTCGGATAGATAAATGCTCAAAATAAACTGAACAAGTGCAGAAAGTGAGCAAACACCACGAATGAAAGAAAAAAAACTCGACTAAAATGGCATTGGTTTGGTGCTATGTTAAGACAAGTCGAAAATAATCCTCACCAATGGAGAACGTGTAGATTTATCACTCGACTCATTAGAATCACTGGATAGACTGTCGTTTTTCTTGGTCATTTCAATCGAGGCATCGTTGAGTAGATGAAGAAGCTTTTGGCTTCCCTGAAAAGATGAAAGAGGAAAAAAATCTAAGCATATAGCAAAAGTGCACAGTATTTTGCCGTGCCACTTTTTTAGCACCTTATGAGGATGCAATCTCATCATCGCTAGTTGGAAAGATATGATTAACACAAAAATAAATAAATTGATAAATTAAATTATAAGCAATAGTCTCCTTTCCCAAAAAAAAAAAAGAAAAAAAAAGGTAATTTACCCTTCAACTGTCACTCATTGTCTGCATAACGTTCCACTACACACACATATAGATATATATTATTATTTAAAAGTCCTACAAAATTATGCACAAATAGTCAATCGACAATAATTCAAGTCATGTTACGGACATGCTTGATTGACAGGACAACTATAAGGAATTTTCTCACCTGGGAGGCTCTCCAGTGTGAGTAAGTGCGAAACAATATCCAAAAGAACGGGATATTAGGCAAAGGAAGGACCTGTGTAATATTTCCAACAAATTTCCATATCACAAGAAGAACAATGTGTTCTTGGACTTTATTCAATCTAATGTGGATGCAATATATTTGAATAGATACAATATTCCTTTTCTTACACATTCGTACCGTGAAAACTGAAGTCAGAGGCAGCAAGATGGCAGAACAATACAAGTAGTTCTTGTGAATCACTGAACCCCTGGTAAAATCACGTTTTATTGTGCATTAACAGATATAATTAGCATATAAATTTAGTCTATCCATTTATAGCATTTATTGAACAACGTATTACAAATAAAAAAAATTGAAAAAAACTTCATACGTTAGCCTTCTTTTCCACAGCATATTCATAACACTATTCTTACACTTCTTTCACTATGCACGTTGAATTCATCGTACTCTTTCCATGGATCATGTGAGTCAAGGAGAATATAAAATATAGTGCAACCAAAGAAAATAAAACGAGAACTAAAAACTGAAAGTGTAAAAAGTATCAATGAAGTTACCTGAATGCAATATGTCGAAGCCTTCTCCGGACAAGTCGTGGATTCAAACTGGGAAGTGATGAAAGAAGCTGAAGATTAACCATAATAAAAACAAAAATGCAACTGCTGCAAATCGTTTGACTATATTAACATTGTTTAGCAAATACTGACATATGACAAGTTTTTCATTCGGTTTGGATAAAAGAAAGGGGGAGTAAGTACAAGGTTATATGAATACAATTACAACAGAAATTTTGCAATACCATCTGTTATAATTTACATTTCAATTCTAAACTTTATGAATGTTCATTAAATTCCGATTTAGATTAAATTTTGTTTCACAGAAAATTTGACAGATACCATGTAAAATATTCCAATCAGCAGCACTTTCTAATGATAATATTCTCCAGCGCACAAGCAGAACTCTTATTTAATCTCGCATGTAAATAAAGGGAAGTAAACTCATGGCCCATGGGTATTAAGATCATTAATCAAATTCTATCACGTTACCTTGATGGATAAATTATATCCACTCCATTGGTCTCCTTTGGAATGGACTTGAACAAGATTTCTGATGGCTTAACACGTGACAACAGCTTCAATCCCAATCTATGCATATAGTAGAAATATTTTTACTCAAAACGCTCTAAAAGCAGTGACATGATAGTGATAGTCTTTTACTTTCTCTCGATTTATAGACAGAATGTGATGAAAAATTGTTCAGACATATACCATAACTTGAAAAAAAAAAAAGTACAAGCTTGCGTAAACATACCCGTGAATCTTATTCTTGAAGGTCCCTTTGGGCGCCTTTTCCAGTTTACTCCAAGCCCCATTCATCTATACATGTTCAATGGTAGCAATTCCATGAGTATAACACATAAATCTTTCTCTACAAGTCACTAATCAGACGTTAAAGCACAGCACATAGGCAAACAAACACAACCTCATATAAAGTCTCAACAATTAGCAAGAATACAGTGTAGTTGAAAAATCACCAATATTTCATTCATCAAACACAAACCATGAACAACAGAAACCTATAAGAACCAAATGCTCAATATGATTACAGAAAAAATAAAAATAAAAAATGACGATTTTAAGCTAAACCCATTGTGCATTAACAATTTACAAACCTTATGCAAACATTTCTCTGACAACCCAGACACAAACTAATCACTAATACGGGAACCCATTTTAGCAAGGAACGTTATTAAGCAATACAAGCACAGCCCATGAACCATTACTCAGCAATAAGCGACATTCGATTGATTCCTCACGACCTTGTTAGCTACGAAATCAATCGCGAGTTCAGCTTTCGAGTCCTCGGAGGGCTTTCCTCTGATTTGAGAAGATGAAGATGGTGAAGAAAATATCTTCTTGAAGAGTTCCTTGAAAGTGGACGGCGTGTTGGAAGGTTGTGCGGCCGCCATTGAAGCGTCAGTCGAGCGGCTAAAACACCAGTTTCTCCCCTTGATCGGGAAAACCACAATCTTCGCCCTCATTTTTCACAATTGTTTGCGAAGAAATTGGAAAAACTCGAACGATTTGAGAAGATGAAGTGCTGGGAAATCTTGGTTATGAAAGCAAGATAAACAATTCGAAATCGAGGGCAAGAAGCGATGGTGTTGAACAATTCACAATATGCTGAACGAGAAAAGATAGCTCAAAGCCTCAAACACAGTAACTGCACACTATAGCTGAGCGGCGGGGGCATCAGGTTTTCCATGAGAACTGATGAGCGTAAAATAAAATAAAATAAGAGCAATTTGATTAATAATTAAATTAATATTCAATATTATTGTAGTGATTATAAAATGGATTAATAAATACACTTGAATTCTCTAGTTTCATTTTTTTTCTTGCACCATGATATTATTTCTTGAATTTGAAATAATGGTAATAGGATTATATTAGTAGACTAGTACAACACCCGTGTAATACACGGGTGCTTGCTAATTTTTTTCTTAAAATCTAAAATTAATGAGAAAAAGTAGTTTGAAAATTTAAATACATTATAATTATAAGAATATATATATTATTATATATTTATTATGACACTTTTTATTTGTGCAATTTACTTGTGTTATATTATACTAATTTTTTTAACTTACAATATATAACTACACTACGTATAAATATATCAATTGAAAAATAATTTTATTTTTCTAATTAATTTAAATAAATATTATTATTTTTTATTATTATAAAGATAAATATAATTTATTTATTTCATATATATACAATATGGATGTCAAATCGAAGATTATCAAAAGATGATTAATTTGATATATTATATATGTAAAACCGATAAGAAATACAAGAGTTATCAACTTTTAAAATACATTTATAATTCAATAGCTTATTGAAGGAAACAAATCAAAATTCAGGGATATATTAGTCACTTAGTGCCTCACTATGTAAAATTACAAAGAATTAAAGGGTTATATTAGTAAAAGTGATATTAAAATACCTAAATTAGCTAAATAATATTTATGGAATACCCGAACCTAGATTATTAATTGTTAATATATCAATATTATTTATCCAAACCTAATTACGAAGCATGATTCTTCGCCAAATAGGATTCCGAAGCACCAGAAGCAGCCACGTAGGCTCAGCGCATTCTGAAATTATATATAGGGAGGATTTTCATTTTTAATGGAATCATAATATTAGTTATTAAATTTGGAATAATAATAATAGCATTAGCATGGGTACAACTAGAATAACATAAATTATTGTATAACTCATGCTAAACGAGATATCATATTTTTTTTTAACAAAAAATGTATGCTAGTCATATATTTATTTTATTTTATTTTATTTTTTCAAGTGACATTTCAATTTAAATTATACATATCTATTGAAAAAATGTAACTATTTAACAGTATATCTACTGAAAAAATGAAGAAATAGACATCAACCAAACAAACATTTCATATGATATTCATCACATAACAGCAAGAATTATTCACCAATATATCTATACTGAAATGTCCCATGTGTAATGTACATACATATGTGGGTAAACAAGTATAAACTCACAAGAACCAAACAGAAAAAAAGTAAGCCAAAGCTTATTACAATCTACAAGGAACAAAGCCAAATACATTATTAAGTTCTTATTACAATTTACATAGATCCACATAAATCAGACAAGATCACATTTACAGAATGTTATTAAGCTGTCAAAACAAATTTTCTTTTTCTTTTTTTGCAAAAATACCCGACAGCCGTCCCCAGCAGTCGAACTAACTCGTCGTCTTCACAGCCTTCCTCTCCACCTCACACAAACAGCTAATATAGCTGCAGAAATTTCCCAAAGAGCAAATTAAGGATATACATACAACAGTCTCCTAATTTTACTCATTTTCCGCAATAAAATTCGGGATTTCTCCTTGGCACAAGTAATTGTCGCATAGAGATGCCGATCCCCAGTCCTTACGCAACCGCAAGATATCCTCTGTGAAAGTCGAGCCAGAGGCCCCGATAAACACAGATGACAAGGCGCATATAGTCTTATCCAGCATCGCCTCGACCTTCATGAAGAAATATTCCAGCTTTAGATGTTAATGACATGAAACTGATTTAGGGTTTTCATAAAACTTTCTACTTTTCTATAGAAGTGACTTTATGTGGCTGAAGCTACAAGAGTTCGAGTTGGACATGAGTTTTTTGGATGTGATTTGGATTTATTGAATAAAGTGAATTAAAGTTGGATAAACGTGATTTTGTAGAGTTTTAGATTGGATTTTGAGTTTGTGTTTGGAGATGAGTTAAAATGCAATGTTTTAAGTTGTAAAAGTAGGAGAGAAGTGATTAGATTTGATTGTTAGTTAAAATTATGAGTGGATGAAAAGTAAAATTTGTTGGAAATTATGTAATAGTGATTGAGATAATAGAGGAGAATTAATTTGAGTTGTATTTTGAGTTAAAAATTTGAACTTAAATTTGTTTAGTAGACTAAAGTTTTGATTGGTTAAAACCGGATTGGATTTATGTCCAATTGCATACCTACAAAATGCTTATGTCTGTAAAAACTGCCCATATTTTCAAATTCTTTCTAACTATGTCTGAATCAAAACTGCGGCTACTACTAGTCTACTAGTCACTTTTTTCCTAACCAAGCAAACTAGAAAGAAAATCTGACCTGTGAGTCTCCCTCGAGCCCATGTCTGTATAGCAAAGCATCCCACTTTTCAGCTGAATTACGAGCAGGTCTTTGTACAAGCGGCACTGACTTTCCATTCAAGACAACAAGGGATTGCAGCAAACCAGTTTCACTTGCTGCAGCATCTGTAGAGAGATATATCACTGGCGTATTTGCCCTTTCAACTACCCGATTGATGCACTCTGCAGCTTGAGGAACAGGGTAAAAGCAGCTCGGGTGCTTAACATTGCTGAATCGAGAAAATTCAGTTAGATTCTACATATAATATTGGGAGAAAATTTGAACTAAAATCTAAACGAATGAAGAGTTAGGCTATGTTTGGTAGCTTATAGATTAAAGTGACTTTCGAAATTATAGTTTATGACTTATAGCTGAAAAGCTAGCTTATACGATAAAAGTGTTTGGTAAAATTAGCTGCTACATGAAATAAAAATTTCAACGAGCTTCTATGAAAAGCTACCCATATTATGAGGTAAGAGAGTTTTTAAAAAAGCTCGTCCAACCAAACGAAGCTTATTTGAATACAGGAAGCTTATAAGCTAACCAAATAAGCTATAAGTTAGCTTACTTGTTTACCAAACATAGCCTTTAATCGGTTAAAATTTCTCTTTCCCACATTTCCATCAGACTTCAAACATTGCACTCAAATACTAGTAATATTGTTTTTTTTTTTTAATTTTTCTCCCAAAACTAGCTTTCAACAGTTTCTCCCTTTCGTTAATAAATACTCGCTTTCATTATCGATTCAAGAATGAGCAAAGGCTATAAACCGAAAAAAACAGTGAAAGTCGAAAAAGTACCAGAATTTCAGAAAACCATGGCGACGAAAATGAAGAGCTACAAAGTCCTTCCCCAAAAACGTCTGAATAAAGCGTTGAGCAGTTAGCAAAATCAGCCGACTCGGCTCAATCAAAGTCTTGCATTTGTGGGCAATCGGTCCCCCAGGCTGCATAACCCATTCTCTCTCTACATCTGCAAAAAACACATCTCCGATTGCAACTACATCAACATCCGAAGAGAATTTTGCCGAAACATCCTCGACCGTCCTATGTTTCGGATTCTTAACATCCTCTTTCCAAACAGCTTCAATCTTACTCAAAGAGATCCCCAGACCTTTCAACTTCTTCACGCGCTCATCGTCCATAAAACATGGCTGAGGAGAAGAGAAAAAGCACATAAACTTGTCGATATGCAAATGGTGCTTCTTACTTTCAGCAAATTCCTCAAAAGTCACCACAACTTTCCTCCCCAAACACTTATTGATGTGATCAATGTCCAAAACACGATGAAAATCATAATCTACCTTCGAACTAGGGATCACCAAGATTCTATCAAGCAAGGCCGCAAAGAACATATGCTTTTCGAGACAAATCAAATGGTTCGACATCTGCCCAGAAACACAAATGGCAAACAGATATCTGTTCTGCTTCGGTTTCCATTCAATCGTTTTCCTATCTGACAACCTCTGATCGACCTTCGGGCACCTATTCCAACTAGAGAAACTCGCATCGGTGTAATTTTCAGTGAAACCCAGAGCACCCTTACTCTCATGAGATGACAGTAAAATCCCTTGAATTTTCTTGTTCAATGAAATTTGGCTAAAAACAAGCGATTTCAAATCTTCCGAAGTCGGATTCGAATCCACCGAGCTAAAGTTCGACTTAGTCACCAATGTGGTATAATTCCACATCTTAAGAAGCTCAAATTCCTGCTGCTTAAGCAAATACAGAGCCCGCAATTCCGATTCACGCATTCTATTGACAAAAGGGTTGCCACCGCCAACGTCCTTAATCGCCGGAATACCCATTTGGAACAAATTTCTCAAATCGGTGGTGAAATAGAGCATCAAAATCACCAAAGGCAGAAAAATCGCGAGAAGGTACCTCTTGTTAAGCTTGCGAGCGACGGCGGAAATCCGACTCCCCAAATCGTCGTCGATGTGGAACGCCGAGCGGAGGTGGCAGTTGGGAGACTTGACGGCGTCGTTTGGTCTGGCGTTTTCGGGTATAAGATTCTCGCGATCCTCCTCCTCCTCGTCGGAGAACTCATCCACCATTTTCGACATTTTTTCCCACTGAGTATCTTCTCTGAATCACACCCCGTCGCCTTTCAGTGTGAACCTGAATTGGGGGTGAACGATGGAGGAACAAAATCGAAGTAAATCAGATTATAGTTAGGAGGGTGGAGTGAAAAGGGGGTAAAGTGAAATCCAACAAACAAGAAGCTGCAACGATTACGCGATCAGCGAGGATTGGTTTTCTTGGTTGGTTGATTTGTCTAATCGGAGAAGAAGATCGTCGGTGGTAGCTTAGCTGGTGAGCTGAAAATTGGGCTGTTGGGCTGGACAGCTGCTTGTCGTGTTTAGCCCAGTTAGAGGTTTTGTGGGCTTCTTATGGGGCTTCTATAGCGGATCTAGAAGAGCTTTGCAATCTTGCATTTAAAAACTTCATAACAAAATGTAAGAAGTGGTTTATTGTTATTCTAAATATCTAATACTAGCATACACATAAATTTGACGCTTCATTAATCTTTCTCTTTCCTAAGAAAATCTTGACTATTCAACTATACATCCATTAAAAAAAAATAAAAAAAAAATGCTACAAGTATATAATAAATATATATAAAAATGTACGTAACACTCACATCGAGTTGGTCCACTTGATTTTTAATTATTAGTAGATCTCACTCAATGTGAGTGTTATGTACATCCCTATGTACAATATTATACATCTATAGCATTACTCCTAATAAAATATCTTAGTGTTATTATGATACAATAAACCGATGGCCTATGGCATACAAACGAATTTGACACCACATTAATCTTTTCTAATAAAATGTTGACAATTATACTACGTCTGTTGAACAAAACCAACCAACTGCTGTGTGTTCGTCTCGGCCTGAACCATTAAGCCTTAACTAATTTATTCAACTAGTTAAGTCAAACTTAGTTCGTCAAGGCTTGAAAATAGGATTATCTTATAGTTTATGACAAGAGAATATTGGGAAAACCGACTCATCCCCAAATCATGATGATGGTGAATACTCATTAGCCCCAAAATATATAACCACAATTACATGAAGAATATGGAAACTACCTAATCACAAGATCCTAATTATCCCTAGAATATATCCTCTAATAATATACAAGATATGGACATAAATATACACGGTAAC